AATGGGCGAATGATCTGAATTCATGTCCCATGCCTTATCAACTTGAATGTAGTTTGCTGAAATATTTCGTACAACAAAAAAGTCTATTAGGTCGGGTATTTTGTTTCTATCTGTGGGCCAATAAGTTTGTTTACCAGTAGAATGCGACTCACATTTTAACTGTGTCATTGCGTCTTTTAGGGTTTTACCCTTAGTTATTGTTAGTCTGGAGCCCCAATGGGTGTGTTTTGCATTAAAGTCGCCTCCAATGATAAATCTAGGTTCTTGACTATTTAGAAAATCTAAGTATTCTTCTTTTTTAACGGTATGTCTTAAAGGACAGTATACAGAAGTGACCATAACATCAGGACTTTTAGATCTTATCATTACTGAAATAGTCTGAAATTCTTCAGTCCTGTATCCCGCTTCATGATGATGCCTAATTGCTTCTCTAATTATTACTGCGCTACCCTCTCTTGCTGCATTTAGGGAATGAATGGTATGATAACCCTTATATCCCTTAAATTTAATAAAGGACTCATTGATAAAGTGAGTCTCTCAAATTAATATGTCTATGCTTTCTATATCTAGGATTGCTTGCAATTCTTGTTGGTGCTGCAGCAGTCCATTAGCATTCCATTTCATTATTATTAGGCTATTACTCAATGAGTAAAAAAATGGAGGAAAAATACTGTTTTCTTTTTTACCATATATTATTTAAAAAATTTCTGGGTTAAATTGCGTAATTTTTATTGAGTTTATTAATAAAGGTTAGATGCCTATTAGTTGTTGATTGATTCAGACTTCAGATTGTTTACGAAGATGGTCACAGTAGAGCAATTGCATACCTTCTACGATTCAACAATAATATTCTTACATTAGAACTTTTCTGTCAAAGAATTCTATTGCCTCTAAAATAAATGAGCAAGTCAGCAGTAAGTCGTAGAAAAAACATACTGTAGAACTCGAATTAATTATCCGTCCCATTTTAACTTCGCCTGCCTGCGATATGGCATCTCTTGTTGCACAAACTATTTTTAATTAACAATGACGATAACATTCCCAACTTAATAATTCTTCTTGTTTAAGTGCATTTTCTAATATTAAAATTCATGCGAAATTCCAAATGTGTGCACTTTTAGAGGATACTAAATTTAACTTAAAACTCATAATATTTCGTCTTAAAATTTTGCTGCAACAATGTTTCTCCGCAAACATGGACAAAATTTCATTTTGACATGGTGTCAGTGGCGTGATAGATTTTTTTCTCAAGGACTAGAATAACGAAAAAATTTAAATTATTTTGAATTATAAAACTATTGGTGAACGATGTATATTTTTTGGAGGAAATCTTTCCAAAATTATATCTTGACTAAAATGTTTTTAAAGTAGGTCTTGATCAGAGCTGGTGAGGATTCGAATCACATAGGATTCGAATCCAGGATTCGAATCCTTTTTGAGGATCCGAGAGCGGGATTCGAATACTTTAGAAAAAAAGGATCCGTGATCTGGATTCGCAGAGAAAATCTTAAAGGATTCGTATTCGAATCATCAATATCAGTCTCGGATCCTTTTAGAGACCAAACTACGCCGGCGCGAACGGCCGACTCAAGCTTTGACTTGTCGCGAATTGTAAACTAAAAACTAAAACAGACTGAGACTGAATAGAAAACCGATGTGTTTGGCGTTGTGCACGATTACAGAATTAACAAATAATCTGATATAGATCCTCAATACAGGTAAGTGAAAAAAAATTCTGCATCCACATCCACATGTAGGTATATTATTTATTTTTGCACGATATACAAAATAAATATGTGGGCGATATTAGTCTATTGAACGAATATAATATATCATTATATCCATTCTATGCTTTCTATCAATTACAATTCATTACTTAATGTCAAGTTGACTATTTTTTTTATTATTTAAAATGAGTTTTAGTTATTAATATAAAATATAATTAAAAATTAGTGATTCTTGTGAAAAATCGATAAATAACGGCAATCAACTAGAGTTTTTTATATTTACAAGGAAACTTAAGTAAAGTTTAAACAATTTTTATACTTATACGAGTATGTAGTCACTTAGGTAATCGCCTATATGCTAAATGTGACAGCCAGGTTCGTTTTGCAGCTTCAAGTTTTAAATGTTTTTATTTATTAATTAATTTATTTATTTATTTACGGGTCAAAACTCATTTTACAGAATTGTATAACAAAGTTCCTTAACAAATATAAGACAATTGGCAGCATTACACAATGAACTGGAGTGAGGTAGTAACCCAGACAACACACCAAATCCCAGAGATATCCTCAGAATATCTTTTGTGGATATCCAATATATCCACAGGATATCAGAAATATTCTATGGATCTAATATGGATATCCAAATGTCCGTCTATATCCAGAAGATATCCTATGGATATTTAGCAAAATATCTCATGAGTATCTCCAGACAATACAAGAAATCCCAGAGATATCCACAGAATATATTTTGAGGATATCCAACCAAATGTCCGTCTATATCCCAGGATATAGAATTCAGATATTCAGCAAAATATTTTATAGGTTATAGGTTGGTTATAGGTATCTTTAGTAGAGGTTCATAAGTAACCAATGATTATTGAATAACGTCAAAAGAAAATAGAGATAAAAAATATTTCCAACAATCTGCCTTTGATTTTGCCCACTAAGGGTACTAAGGAGAAAGTCATCCTTATTAGGACTCTTCAGCAATAAATGCAAATTCTCGACTGCAGTCTCTAATGGAGTCTGTTTGTGAAAAAAATGTCGATCGAACTCAATTACGGCGGGTTAAGCATGAGTAGATACGGAAGTGGTATCGCCATCTATACTTAGGATTCTACCCCACTCCAGTTCATTGGCATTACAATGAGTATAATTAATACCACAGTATAACACTGACAGTGATTCGGATCCGTGATCCGAAAAAAAGGATTCGAATCACTGGATTCGAATCCTTTTTTTTTTAAAAGGATTCAAACATTGGATCCGTGATTCGAATCACATCTCGTGATTCGGATTCGTGATTCGAATCCATTTTTCGAGTATTCGTCCCAGCTCTGGTCTTGATTAAGTTCACACATGACGGAGTATTTATCAGTGTCAGTGAATTTAATTCAGAACAATGCGTAGTTATCAAGGACACGGATACATAGTACCGCGATTGCCAAGTAAATTATAAATTATTAGATACGTGGACATATTAATCATACATCTAACGAATTATTATAAATAAAATGGACGCTGGTTTTATTCTTAACAGTTCTAGAAGCTACTACTGATTCTCAAGCGATCTTAATATAGAAATGGAAGACAAAAATATGGAAAAAATCGTAATTCATTAATAAGTTATTTTCAATTTTAAGTCCTGATCGACATTTTTTAATTCGGCAGCCATATTGGATCTGCCATTTTGTATTTCTTATATTTAGAGTCATATTTAAACTCAGCGACGTAGAAACCCTCCAGATTTAATTTTTATACAAAATACGCAGTTTTTAATATTTTAGAGTGCCCTGATGGATTCGTCATTACGTATTTTCAATGTCTAATGTCATATTCAAAATAAGCGACCCCAAAAATCATCACATGAAAACGAATCTTTGGTATTTTGACAAAAAAATAGGTGTAATGTCCCCTTTAATCTGACCTTTAATTCTTCTAAATATACTGAATGGTTAATTTCATAAAAAAGCTTCTAATAAAATACTTCTGTGTTCATTACATTAATTTAAATATATCACTACCAAAAATCAGTAAAAATCAAGATTAATAATGCTGTTAACTTAGAGGATATTTAATGAAGTAGTTCAAATATACCAGGCTGTTTTCGTTGTTAAAAAGTAAAAACAAATACGTTAATTGCAATAGTTCAAATGTATTATACATAAAATCATATAAATAGTATTAATAAGCAATAATTCAAACACAGATCAATATGACAGTAATAAATAAAGTAGTTCAAATGTACATGATGTTTATAGTCGGTAGTTCAATAAGATCAAATATTAAATTTTAATCAATTGCACGTTTTTTGTGAACCTGTTAATTGCAGTAGTTCAAATGTATCAAAAGTAAATAGCAATGTTTTTATAAGCGTGTACAAATATTACTGATACTGATAAGGTTTAGTAGTTTAATGTAATATAAGGTTTAAGTAAGTAGTCCAAAGTACTAAATGTATCATTGCCCAAGTCACTAAAAATCAATATTTTTAATTGTAGATTAATAATCATGGTAAATTGAGAAGTAATAAAGGACGTAGTTCAACTTCATACGGCTATTTCTTTTGGTAGTTCAATTGTACTAGATGTTTTTGTAACAATTGTTAGATATCTAGAAAACTGTCTTTTAATCAACTACAAAAAAGTATTTGTGAACCCACTTGTTATTTGCAGTAGTTTAAACATATCAAAAGTAAATAGCAAAAAATTATAGTACTAATTTTTTATTAGTCTAGATTAGGTAGGATCGAAAAAAAAGTTTTTTTCGAATTTGATAATGGCCCGGGGGCAAAAGTTGTCATTAATAAACCCCTTCAGGTGTCCCAATCCTTCAAAAAAATTTTTTTTTTTTTTGAAAAAATCAATACGGCCCTATGTGTAAACTCACTCTTCTTTAATGTTTAAAAAGTGTGTGTTCAAAAATTGGAGGCCCTCGGAACATTTATGGAGGTGCCCCAAATCCTATTTCATGTAGATAATACACTTTCAGCTGGAATCTAAACAAATTAACGAAAAAATAGATTTATTGACGGTAGTATGACACGTTACATATTTATAAGGTAGAACGAAGTTAAAAAATCCGAACAGAAATATTAAGAGTAAGTGTAGGAACAATAATATAAGTAAGAAAACTAAAACTAAAAATTCAACAAAACTGAAGCTGCCAAAACGTATGGACCTTAAAAGAAACGTATACCGATATACAAAAAATATAATATTATTAACAAATATTTAACTTAGAACGTATATTATTATAAAAAGGAACAAAAAGTTATTTAAGCTTAAATTCTGACTTAGAATTAAATGATTTCATAAGCTTCCTAGACTCGATTCGAGATTTTATGAAACCATCTCGTTTTTCCTCTCCACAAACTTTAGATGATGCTTCTGTAACTAAATGTACACATCTTTCAGTGGACTGAGTGTGACAGGGGCACTTGGACAAATCTAGAAAGGATGGGTCAGTTTCTTGACCAGATACAAAACCTTCCAGGTCCTCGTTAGAAACATGCTTTAATATTGGTGGTTCTGACATATTTGCTTTATACCAATAAACGATTTCTGTATAATCCTCTGCCTGCATGTTTGAAGGAGGTACGCGAAACTGTCTGACAGATGTTGAATTTTTGTTTTCTTTTCTAGAAGCAATTATTCTGCGACATGCTAACTTGCGGATGTGCTCTCTGTTATTTGCTAGCATCGCTAAAAGCAGGTTCTCTGAGTGGCCAAAGAAGCCATTCCTCTTTTACGACATCTACTATCTCCGTTAAATCAGACGACATATAAATAACGTGAAAAGTAACCAAAATATATTTGAAAATCAGAATAAATGAAAACACATATTTTTTTACTTAACTGGGGAACCTCCAAAAATGTTCCGATAGCCTCCAATTTTTGAACACACACTTTTTAAACATTCAAGAAGAGTTTAAACATAGAGCCGTATGGGATTTGTTTTGAGGGGGTTGGGGCACCTGAAGGGGTTGATTAATTTTTTTTTTTTGGCAAAAAACCCAACTTTTAGGAATAACAACTTTTGCCACCCAGGCCATTACTAAATTCGAAAAAAAGTTTTTTCGATCCTACCTAGTGTAGATAGACATTCCTGTTTACTAAAAAGTAAATGGCTGTTGAAGCCCCTTCATGGAAAGTATTCCAATCAACTTCTGCAATCAATAATTGAATCCTCAACTGAATGGCTGAGAAAGGGATATTTGTTTGGGGAAACAGGGATTTTTGATGGAGATTCAAGACAACATTATCGCGACAAGATATCATATTCAAATTATTCACGGAGTTCGACTCGATAATGACTTGTGCAAAATGTGTATTCGCCACTCACAAACAATTGAGCACATAGTATCGGGATGCACGGTGTTAGCGCCTGCTGAATACCTTAAACGCCATAACTTAACGGCCAACGTAATTCATCAGAATCTGGCAATTATGTGCAATTTTCAAAAGAAAACTCAACAATATTTTAATATGTTCTATTCCCGGTCCTAGTACTGGGATACGCCAATATAGACCGACAAACCAGTATCCAGCAAGAGACCTGACATCGTCCTCGTAAGAAAAAAGGAGAAAGTAGAAATAATTAATACTTCGAATTGGCAGAAGAATATAAAAATGTACACAAACTAAAAGGTCTTACCATCATTCCCATAGTAATTTCAGCTACTGATCTGGTTTCGAAGAACTTGGAGTCGTACCTAAAACAAATAGACATCTTTGACAAAAATACCTTCACAACAATGCAAAAATCAGTTATACTAGAAACGTGCCGTATTATAAGAAAAACTCTGAACTCGCCAAAGTGTAAAAGTAGTCCAATTAACATTTAAAAAATTTAAAGCCTGATAAATTGACTGATTTCGTAGCAATACCAATTTATCAACAACCCTGAAAAGGAGAGGAAAATAATAATAATAATAACAATCATACTAATATTCTCCCTAATTCACCCCCAATATGAGTGATTTTCAACCCGCAAATAGACAGTGTCGCCATCTATATAACTAACTAAAGTTACTGTTATTTCACCACCATTTCAAATAGCACATACCTTTCTTTTGGTCGCAATAATAATATATAGACAACAAAAAGTAACCATTTCCAACTTTCGCTGAAAAATGATGCCGTTTCCGCAAAAGTCATTATATTCATTCAGTTCAGTCCTACGTCTCCAGATTAATAAGTTATTTCTTTGTTCCATTATTTACCTCGCCGAAGAATAAGCAGAAATGACAAAAACGGAAACCGACGTTCTCCCGGTACCCGTCACGCCTAATAAATTATTCGGCCATTTCCCGATTTTCCTTTGGAAAACTGACCCACATCCACACCTCAACTTCGCCGACATCACAATCAATCAAGGGATTTCCAATGCAACAAGCTCACTCGCGCTGGCTCGATCCTTCATTTAAGTGAAGATATTTCATAAAGGGGGCTTTGATATCGGTCCTGTCTCGCGGCTGCTGAGTAAAACAATACCCCTTAAGATATATGATAGCTTGAAACGGAAGACATTTCTAATATAACACATCCATCATTGCTGTACAAGATGATCTGACAGTTAGAGTAATAACTGGAGTTGTTATGGATTGTTTGAGAACTTGCCTACGTCGATGGTTCGGCATTATTTATCAAATTAATTTTCAACTAAGCTAATTAGTTACAACATGGGTGCTTGAAACAAATTTGATAATAATATAGTTAATGTAATTGTATTTTGAGCAATTTACCAAATTAGTGTCATATCTGTCTCAGCAATTTCTTTCATATCATAGAGTAAAATTTACTATATAGTTTATTTAAAAAAATATCTACGCTTCTGTATTGTGACTTATTGACCCCATTCTACTGCACTTCTTTTCCTCTTTTTTATAATAAATACATAAACCCGATGTATAAAGTCAAAAACCCTACGCTTTTCTTAAGTATATCTGTTTCTTTAAGGTCGAATGCGCTTTCAAAGAAAGCCACAAATTCGGGGGGTAAATAGCCTCTTAAGGTAACGCAATTTAACGTCGAGCTTCTACTGTTGAGTGCTTTTTAGACCTTCTGCAACACGAGATTTCCATTACAATGTTGAGGAACAGCGGCGTACTGAAGAGTTCAACATAGGATGGAATACATAATATATTTAATTATTTCCAATATCATATTTCTAAATTTTAAAAGACTCTCTCTCACAAATGAAATACTAAATTTTATACAAAAAATATGAGTAGAAATGCTATAAAAATACCTACTTTAAGTACCAAGAGTTCAATGTCAGTATCAACGTTCGACAAAATGGTGTGATTAGCACAGTAATCTCTTGTTGTAGTTTGAAACAAAGAGCAAATAGTAAAACGTTCTTTTGCAATATTTTCGGCAAAATAATTTTCTGCAATTTCTGGATTAATGAAGGATCAGTTACTCTCTCAAAAAGAACCCATCTCTCGTCCAAGCTTTGAAGACAAGATATGGCTAACAGAATTTGAAACGGGTATTCCAAAGCCAGCTTAAGGTTCGCAGTCAGAAACATAATGAGCAGTGTTGTCGTTTAGGTGGAAATTTTCCCATTGGGTGGAAATTTGGACTCTAGTGGGAATTGTGGATGGATATAATATTTTTGGGAATTTTTGGGGAATTTGCTCCCATCGAGGCTCCCTTAATGACTTTAAAGCAAATTAATCTTAGATTTCCTCTTTTTAATGAGTAGATAATATTTATTTTTAGCATTAGGTTATTGATATGTTAATCAAGACCTGACACATGAAATTATGTTATGTTATATGTGTTGAAATATGTTAAAACATAAAAAAATGTTTTTGTGGTGGCGTTAGTTGATGCAGAGCACTTGATTATAGTAAGGACAAATAATGATACTTTATTTGAAAGTAAAGCTCATTTAATAGACAATTCATAATAAAAATAAAAAAATAATAGAAAAGTGAACATAAAAATTAAATTGAAAAATTTAGGACAACTCCCATAATTAAAAACTAAATTACTTCAAAGTAAATGCTCAAAGTGTTGTCCATTAACTTTCATACACGAATATAAATTATTCTCAAATCTTTGACGTTTTGGAGCATTTCTGGAGTTACTTGACGACATTCGGTAATAATACGTTTACGTAACTCTTCTAAGGAACCTGGCTAAGTGGCGAATATTTTACTTTTCAGATATCCCAATAAAAAGTAATCTAAGGGGGACAGATCAGGATATCATGGGAGCCATTCAATAAATCCTCTTCGTCCAATCCAATGTCTAGGAAAGTTTTCATTTAAGTACTGACGTATCGTTTTTTATTATGTCTGTTAACAGTGGATCAACGGTGTTTTCCAGTAATTCCAAATATACAGTATGGTTCAAATGAAAGGAATAAATTCATTATAATGGAAGTAGCTGGTTTTTCGAAAAAATGCTCGGACAGGTCAATTTTGTTTACTCAAAGCGCAATTTTTTAAATAGACTTCAATTTTCCCCCACTTCTCATTTTTGGGCAGTGACGTCCTTGGCAAGTTTTTTAAATAGTAACCTCAATTTTTTTTTCTTGATTTTGATAGATCTTGCAATTTCCTACTCGGAAACATAATATTTGAAATATCTTATATAACTTTTTTTTTAATAGAAGACATTTAAAAATCAGACACATAAATTTTATTTTATTTTGAGAACACAATAAATGAATAAAAGATAATTATTTGTAATTAAATGCTTAATGTAACAAAATAATAATAAAAATAATAATAATAAAAAGAATTTGTGAAATTGTCATTAAATTAATTTTATTATTATTATTATTATTTTTTTTTTTTTTTTTTTTTTCTCCTTCTCAGGGTTGTTGATAAATTGGGATTCTTACGGAATCAGTCAATTAATCAGGTTTTAAATTTTTTCAAGTGTGAGTTGTGCGACTTTTATTCATTGGCAGGTAAGTTCAGAGTTTTTCTCACAATACGACAAGTTTCTAGTAAAACTGACTTTTGCATTGTTGTGAAGATATTTTTGTCAGTGATGTTTATTTGTTTTAGGTACGACTCCAACTTCTTCGAAACCAGACCAGTAGCTGAAATTACTATGGGAATTATGGTAATACTTTTTAGTTTATGTATACTTTTATATTCTTCGGCCAATTCGAAGTATTTATTATTTTTTTCCTTTTCTGCTTTTTCTAGATTATGATCGTTGGGGTGCGTGATGTCGATGAAGAAGCCCACTTTCTCCTTTTTTCTTACAAAGACGATGTCAGGTCTATTGCTGGATACTGGTTTGTCGGTCTGTATTGGCGTATCCCAGTACAGAAGGTATGTATCACTTTCTAGGACCGGGAATGGAACATACTTAAAATATTGTTCAGCTTTTTCTTGAAAATTGCACATAACTGCCAGATGCTGATGAACTATGTTGGCCGTTAAGTTATGACGCTTTAGGTATTCAGTAGGCGCTAATACCGTGCATCCCGATACTATGTGCTCTATTGTTTCTGAGTGGCGACGACACATTCTGCACAAGTCGTTATCGAGTCGAACTCCGTGGATAATTTGGATATGATTTCGTGTTGCGATAACGTTGTCTTGAATCGCCACCAAAAATCCCTCAGTTTCCCCGAACAAGTATCCCTTTCTCAACCATTCAGTTGAGAATTCAATTTTTGATTGCAGAAGTTGATTGGGATACTTTCCATGAAGGGGCTTCGACAGCCAT